GCATTTACCACATTTTTAGTATTTTTCAAAACATATATTTCAAATCCTATATCCTCCAATAATCCTTTGTCAGCCACTTTGGCATTATAAAAATGGTTAATATTTATTGAAAAAATTAGTATGTCAGGCATTGTTCTAAAATTTTTATGTGTATTCATCCTTTTTATCTTTATAGCAACCCAAGGCAGGTTTGCTATTATTTTCATTTTAAAGATAATGAAACTGAATCACAGAGAATTGAAAACAAAAATGATTCAAGGTCACATAGAAGGTTGACTGTTTCCAGAGCCAGAGTCAAACAGTCAATTTTAAGTAAGTAGTTATATCCAGTTAGCATTTTGAAGTAACAGCCATTTAGCTTATCAGACCCATCCATTGAGTCTTTCTTCTACATCTCTACCCAGTGATGACTCAGGCTTCATGTCAACACCTCCCACAATAAAAAGGATAACATCCCCCGCATGCTATAGTCACTTAGCATGTTCCCAGCATGGTGCTGAACTTTTCCATCATCTCTCTCACTTCTCAGACTGTTCCTCGATGGTGTTATTATTCCCATATTACAAATGAGGATACTGAGGCTTAACTGTCCTGGCATTCTTCTTTTGCAGACTTAGGGAACCTTTTAATCTTTGAACAGCTTTTACTATCATAAATGACTGAACTGAACAGTATCTCTTTAAAGCTTCAACTCACGAGTGCCAGGTCTAACTATTGAGACCACACCAAACAAACCTTATCCTTTTCGCATGTGAGAGCTTGCATCATGTAAAGAAAGATGCTATTCCTTTCCTATGTCTTCTTCAGGATAAATGTGTTTAGTTTCCGTGATGTTCTAAATATAGCATAATTTTTAGTCTTTCTCTTCCTAAAATGTGGCTCCAGAAGTATTATCATGTCTAGATGTGGTCTGATCTGTCAAATTACAGGATTATCACCTTAATACAATTCAAAATTATATACTAGATTTTTGGCAATGCTATAGCTAATACTGATAAATTGAGCTATTTGCTAAAATACTGTCTTTTAATTTTTTAAAACTTATACCACTGCCAAATCATATCTACCTCATTCTATACATACAAGGTTACTTCAAAAGTTCATGGACAAATGGAATTGAAAGATAATACAAATCTTTCCATGAACTTTTTGAAGTACCCTCATATACAGTTGACTTTGTAGACCCAAAGGCAGGAATTTATATTTATCTGTGTTATATTTCATCTTGTTAGATTCAGCCCATTGCTCTGGGCTGTCAAAATCTTTTTGGATACTATGTCTGTCATCCAATGCATTTTCCATCCCTCTAAGATTTATGAGATTTACAAATTTGATGAGGGTGCCTTTTCATGCTGGGCAGTAGCTCAGTAAATGCTAACTGATTGACTAACTGATGCCCGTAAAATAAAACAACCAAGACAATCTACACTCTGCTACAACTCTAAGCAATAAAGAAAAGGCACCATTTTCTAACAGATAAAATGTGTCATACTAAAATTCTTCACATATTTTTCAGTGGCCTTGTTTACTAACATGGGTTTTTCTACAACTAAAAAATAAATCTACGGTCTATTAAATATTCTCTATTAAGCTATATTTATACAAACAATACAGGACTTCAGGTAATTAGGGAAAGTTGCTTTGGCAGAAATTAATCATGTGGATTGCCTACAAATATTTGAAACAGTTGAAATGTGTGTGTGCACCTGCTACTCGTTTGATCCACTGGATAATGCTTAAATCTTCACTCATTCTGACTATGAATGATGCTGTGGAGAAATGAATTCACACACAGATATGCTCCTCACAGGTTTTCCTCTTTTTTGTTTCTGGTTTGCATTTCCCATGAACTCACATATTTTATTTCTTCACTTGCTCCTCCCCTCTGCTCCTTTCCCTCTCTCCAACCCCCCCCTCACAGGTTTTCCTCTTTTTTGTTTCTGGTTTGCATTTCCCATGATCTCACATATTTTATTTCTTCACTTGCTCCTCCCCTCTGCTCCTTTCCCTCTCTCCAACCCCCCAACGACACACACACTCACTTCCAGTACTTTTCTTTCTGGGTAATTCAGACAAGCCTTGAAGTGAGCTACAGCAAAAGCCTAAGTACCACATTCACATGCAGGGTATGAAGCTGGGATTTACTGCTCTCCCTTGCTATCTATCAAAACTCTTCATATACTGAAACCTCCCAAGGACATGCCCCCAATTTAAGTAATCTCTAAAATTTAACATAGGAATGCCAGTAGTTTCCTTTATCCTATCTTGACTGGATGTGAAACTCTCATGACCACTTCTTCCCAAAGGATTAAATTACTGTTTCTCTACCTCAAAGAAAGCTGTTGATTTAAACAACTACATGATGGAAATCTGCTGATAGTCTGATCTGTTGTTGAAGAGGGTTAGGTCCAGCCCATTTTCTAGAGATACTGCCTAGAAATGTGCCACACACAATTCCACGTTGAAGAATGTTTTTGGTGCACTGATGATCGCAATATTCTCCATGTTTAATTATCCCAATATATCACGATGCCTTTTTCTATCTTATCCATAGAGAACATATGATTTTCAGAAAATTATCAGAATTGGCCATAAAATAACTTGGTAAACCTTTTCAGTATTTCATATCCCTATAATCTAGAAAGTGTTTATTTGCTTTCACTACATTTTTCTCTCCTTAAAACCCAACTTCTTATTTTGCCTTTCACATTTATGAAGAAAACTGCTCATCCTAACCTTCACCTAAAACCAATAGCTTTTTTGAAAATGGTTCTGTTGTTTGCATACTGAATGAACTTATTACAGCACGCTACATGTGATGTTACACTTAAGGGTTATATAAACATAGAGGTGTCTTCAAGGAACTTGCAGTCTGGAATGGAAACAGGCATATTAAAAATACTTTTGATGCAATAAAATAAATATGGATGAAGTGCTTAGGGACAAAGATGAGAAACAGAGAATTGTCTTGGAAGTCTCCTCCTCCAAGAACTTCCCCGTTTCTCTCCTTCCCCCTGTAGGTGTATTCTTCAGATGAGTCGTCTGTACTTGCACTGTCTAGTTTCTCTTTTTCTGTTCTATCTGTAATGCAGCTCAACTAGTAGTTTCTGTGTTTTATTACTGTTAAAAAAATCTCAAAATTACAGGAAAGTGACAAGAAAAGTACAAAGAATTTTTTTCTGAATGATTTGAGATTAAGTTTCTGACATAATAAGTCATAACTCCCAAATACTGCAGTCTGTATTTGCCACACACACACACACACACACACACACACACACACACACACACACACTACATTCTCCTATATAAGTACAATATAACTATCAGGAAATTAACATCGATACATCACTACCGTCTTATACTCAGAGGCAATACAAGTTTTTCCAATTACACCAAAAATGTTCTTTATAGAAAACAAATTCAGTTCAGAATCACATGCTGCATTAGTTGTTACGGCGCTCAGATCTCCTTTGATCTAGAACAGTTCTTCAGCTTTCACTGGACTTTCATGATCTGAACCCTGTTAAGGACTACAAACAGCCCTGATCTTGTAGACTCTAGGTTTGCATTTGTATAATGTTTCCATGTGATTTTATTCCGGTGAAACAGTGATTTTATTACATTTTATCTTGTGTTTCATCATTTCTATTTGTTCCATTATTAATGATGTTAACTTTAATCATTTACATTAATGTGGTATCTGCCAGGTTTCTCCACTGTAAAAACACAATTTTCCCCTGTGCAATTAACATTTTGTGAGCAGATACTTTGAGACTGTATAAATATCCTGCTCCTTACTAAATTTTCAATGTTTGCATTTATTTTTATCTGTATAGAATGATGAATCTCTATTTTATTCAGTGGGATACATTACTCTCAATAAGCATTTCGATGCTCAAGTTGTTCCACATTTTGGCAGGGGAGATCCCGTAAAGCTGGATTCTGTGTTATATTGGCATGTCCTCATAATTCCTTGAGCATCTTCCTGCTTCCTGACATAAGGTATTCCAGGCTTGTTTGGTAGTTCTTTGCCCTAGCCCTGAAATCTGCTATTTCTCCAAGGAATC